ATTTCCTAGATCGTTAAACTGATTTTTTTGTAAGGTAATAACCTAACTTGAACGATACTTTATTTGGACAAAATTACAGCTATTTCACTGATAGACAAAAATAAAAACGATTCTGTTAACTATTTAAATTGTATTTTAACAATTAACAAAAAAACGAAAAACGAGGATGTTGAAAATATTTTTTTTTATATATATAATCCCTCATTCGCCGGCGTACAGTCGCCATGTGCACGCATTATATATTTGCTCCGTCTTTATATATCCCAGTGTGTGTCACTTTGGTACATTTAGTGAATACATTTTATACCAAAATTTTAATCAAATAACGCTCTTTCCGATTTCGGGTTTTAAACGAAAATTGGTATACTATTCCACTCGGGAATCAGTAAAACACAACTTCCTTAATTGGCTGTAAGTAATAATCTTTGCTATTCCGCGCGTTATCAGCGTTACCGGTTATGGCCGTAGTGCCGTTAAATCGTAATGTCACAAATAAACCAAACCGTACCTCCACTAGTCATTTCTAAATCGCGTCTACAGAGTGTGTCAAATACCTCAACCGACTTTTCTCATGTGAACGTCTCGTCTGACGGTGGTCATCACCAAAACCCCTCAAACGTGTAAATTCGCCTAATCACTCGCCTAATCATCCTTCAAAAGCTTCTAAACAATTTGTCACTCCGAATAGATACTCCCTATCTAGTTCTCAACAAAATGATGAACCGGGAAAAAAAACGATGAGATGGAATGCACGGATGATTCATCAAATTCCAATACAAAAAAAGCTGAAAATAAGCCTCCACCACCAATATTCATCCGCTTTGTAAAAGACTATAAGGCATTCTGTGAAACCGTTAATACCCTAACTAAAGGTGAACCCTTTTTTTGTAAAAGCTCCACAAATGGCATCAAATTATCCACCAGTTCAGCGGCTTCTTACCGCTCCGTCATTAAATATCTACAAACTGAAAAAGCAGATTTCCATACATATCAGCTTAAACAAGATAGAGCTTTTAGGGTGGTAATTAGAAACCTCCACCACTCAACTCCAATAATGGATATTAAAAAAGAACTTGTCTCCCTAGGACATTCGCCTAGAAATATTACAAATGTTCTCCAGCGCAATACCAAAACACCACTTCCTCTATTTTTTGTTGATTTGGACCCTGCAATCAACAATAAAGACGTTTTTGACATAGATCACATTTACTACACTAAAATTAAAATTGAAGAGCCCCGGCAAATCACCAACCAATCCAATGTCTCCGTTGTCAAGGTTTTGGTCATACTAAATCGTACTGTAACCACCCCCCCAAATGTGTCCACTGTGGTGAACTTCACATCTCCGACACTTGCCAAAAACCTAAAAACCTACCTCCCAAATGTGCACTTTGTGGTGGAGATCATCCTGCTAACTATAGAGGATGCCCAGCCTACAAAAAGATTCAAGCCGCTCACGTCTCAAAAAAGAAAATTCCAGCTCAAGAAAACCCTACTTTTTTCGAAAAAAATATAAAATCTACTAATGTAAGCACTACTCCATTTATGAATTTTTCACACAAAAAATCGTATGTAGAAGCATTTAAAAACGCCCTCCAAAATCAATCTACCCCCCCTACCTCCGCCCCAAATACCGACCCCATAGCCTTCCAACTGGCGTCATTTCTTGATGATTTTAAATCTATTATTAATCCTTTAATATCTCTCCTCACTACTGTTATAGATAAACTTATTCTCTCTAACAATGACAAATAGACAAAGTAGTATCCATCATCCGATCGCAATCCTTCTTTGGAATGCAAATGGTCTAATCCATCAACAAAATGAACTTTCCGCCTTCCTTAAATCTAAATCGATAGACATCCTACTTATTAGCGAATCTCATTTAACACCCAACAGCTCCTTTAAAATACCAGGCTACTCAACTCACCTCTGCAATCACCCCGACGGTACTGCTCACGCTGGATCAGCTATAACTATAAAATCTTTCATCAAACATACAATACTTCCACCTTATCAAAACAACACTATACAAGCTACTAACATTTCCTTAACACTGAACCATATCCCAACTACTATTTCCTCAGCATATTTTCGTCCTAGGCAAGCAATAAATTCAAATGATTTTACCCTCTTCTTCCGCTCCCTTGGCAACCACTTCCTAGTAGGTGGTGACTTTAACTCTAAACACCCTTCGTGGGAATTTAGCTCACCCAACACTAGAGGCCGTGCTCTTAATAATTTTATACAAAACAATAATCTAAAAATAATCTCTCCACCAAACCCCACTTACTGGCCCTCGCACAATAATAGGCGACCTGATGTATTAGAATTCTTTGTAACAAATCTTCCCAGCCATATAAACCATAATATTATCAACACATCAGACCTCTCTTCTGATCACACACCTGTGATCTTAACCTTAAACAATACCCACACTAGTACAACAAATTATCCGACGATCACCCCCGGTAAAACAAATTGGCAAAAATTTTCTAATACACTATCAAACCACATTTCACTTAACACCCCTCTGAAGACACCTTTGGACTTGGATAACGCTGTCTTATCTTTTACATCTGCTATCCAAAATTCAGCAAAAAACTCGTCTAGTCTTTCACCAACTACTCCTTACTCAGCACAAGTTCTACCCCCTCACATATCTCAACTCCTTATCGATAAACGCCAAGCCCGATGCAAATGGCAAAGAACCCATCTGCCTAATGACAAAACAAACTATAACAAACTTGCAAACTCCTTAAGAAATATCCTTCGGAAACATAACTCTGAAAAATATTTATCGTACTTAAAATCGCTCTCAAACTCCGACAACTCACTGTGGAGAGCAACAAAAAACACTCTAAGCGAAAAAAGTAAAATACCTCCCCTACGTAACCCTGACAACTCCCTAGCCATATCTAACTTTGACAAAGCAAATCTATTCGCATCAGATCTAGAAAATAGATTTACACCTCACCCGGACATATTAAATATAAATCACTGCCAGCTTGTTGAAACCACTTTACAAAACACCCTGCCAATGTGTCTTCCCACTTATCATACTTCCCCTTCTGAAGTCTTAAACATTATTAAAAAACTTAGAAATAATAAATCTCCTGGTCACGATATGATAACAAACAAAATAGCCAAAAAACTACCAAGAAAGGCAGTTTTATTTCTTACATACATTTATAACAGCATACTCCGCCTCTCCTACATCCCACCTTCGTGGAAACACTCAGTTATCATACTCATTCATAAGACAGGCAAACCCCCTGATTCTCCTGCTTCATACAGACCTATTAGTCTGCTCCTGACTTTCTCCAAAATCCTGGAAAAAATCATTTTAAGAAGACTAAATCCATTAATCAATGAAAAAAAAATCATCCCCAACGCCCAATTTGGCTTTAGAATTAAGCACTCTGCGATACATCAAATACACAGACTAGTTGATAATATATCCACATCCCTTGAACAAAAACAATTTTGTTCAGGAGTGTTCCTTGATGTCGCTCAGGCTTTTGACCGTGTCTGGCACGATGGACTCTTGTTTAAACTTCTCTTTCTTCCATCCCCTCTATTTCTCACTTTGAAATCCTTTCTCACAAATCGAACTTTCGTGGTAAGATGCGTAGATGAACTCTCCAATACCCACCCTATAAGAGCTGGCGTACCCCAAGGCAGTATCTTAGCTCCAACCCTATATAATCTCTATACAGCTGACCTAACACAATCCAACTATACTAACCTAGCCACTTTTGCCGATGACACAGCAATTACCTCTTCTAGCTCTGATATTCTCTCTTCAACTGAAAATCTTCAAGAACACCTGCTAAAACTTCAAGAGTGGTACAACATATGGAGAATAAAAATTAACGAAACTAAATCCACTCACATAACCACTCTTAGACCTAAAAACATCCCCCCTCTCTTCCTAAATAATCAAGCTCTTCCCTTAGATGACTCTGTGAAATACCTAGGTGTTCACCTGGACAAGAGTCTTACTTGGGCAACCCACATTAAGACCAAAAGAAAATCGCTAAACCTTACACTTCACAAGCTTAGACATCTCCTTAAATCAAAAACTTCTCTAAATAACAAAATATTAATTTACAAACAACTCTTACGTCCAGCAATGACCTACGGTATTCAAGTCTGGGGAACTACTAAAATCTCTAATTTAAACATCCTTCAATCTTTTCAATCAATAAGCCTACGTCTCATCACAAACGCTCCCTGGTATGTAAGTAACCAAACCCTACACAATGACCTCAACATACCAATGCTAACATCCCTTGCTTCCTACCACTATAAAAAATTCCATACAAACGCTCTCAACCACTCTAATCCTCTTATATCTAAGCTAGCTTCTCTCACAATTCCCGACAATCCTCCTCGCCGACTAAAACGGAACTGGCCACGCGATTTACTCAACTCTTAACATACAATTTAAAAAAAATGTAAAAAAGTACTAATCCCTTAAACTGAAAATTTAAATTCCTATTTGGAAGTAGTGTTAATGGACGCTTCCTTCTTTCACGTCGTCTTGTCTAGTTTCTATTTCAGCTCTTTTACCTATTGTTTTATTGTATACAGATTGTAAATATTGTCTTTATTTTAATAAACAAAAAAAAAAAATATATAATCCCGAAAAAAAAAATCATCCTCTAGAAAGTTCTGATGACTTTTTCTTAATTTAAAACGTATATCTAAGAGGTATTAAAATTTTTGATTAATTTTAATCGTTTTTTGATTAATAAACACTAATATATTTTCCGTATGGTATAGGTACCATTTGAATTCAATTAGGATTGAATTCAAACCAATAAACTGAATGGTCGACATCTTTATATAATATTAATCATTAGAGTATCTTTCAGATAAGTAAATACAGCGCGTTCTACTAAGAGCTTTACGTTTAGTGAAAAATCCGGAGTTTCATAGACGAACAAAACACATTCAGACGCGGTATCATTTTATTCGAGAGAAGAACGATGAAGGTCAATTTCAACTTCAGTATATTGACATGCGGAATCAGGTTACAGACATCCTAACTAAACCATTGGCAAAAACAACGATTTGAGATGTTACGGTCAGCAATGGGAGTCAGTCAGTTGAAAGAGAAAGTCGACCTATAGAAATTATTTACTGAGGGAGGGTGTTGAAATATTTAATAAATAATTTATATTATATTCATCTTAGAATGTAAGTGCTCATTAATATTGTTTAGATAAACATCTATTCATAATAAGAAATATATTATAGCGTAATTTATATAATATAAGTTATTATTAAAGTAATTCCCGTGTAAATTGACGTCAATTGTAGTATTGCATTGTATACAATTTTTGTTCTAGAATATTCTTTTGGTTTTATACAAAAGGGAGATCCGGGGATATCTTATTTACTCATTTTTTTTATAACGTTTGTGTAAGCCAACTGTGTATAACAAGTCTTTATTTATTACTATACAACTTGTGTTAATTTTTATATTATCCAAATCCACTCCAACACTCAAATTCCAACAATTGTTAGCAACTTTATAATGATTTCTATCTTTTTAACGATAATTTATTTTCTACAAAGGTATTAAAATCGCATACTGAATAGATATATACATACAACTGGAATGCCATTATTTAAGACCTTAATCTAGACATGGTAGCCTTAAATACCGGTCTAGTGATTTGAACAGAATTTAATAAAGCAACATCATTTTTAAAATTTGCATATTTTCAATAAAAAAGGAACATTTGAAAATCATTTTCTTCGCTTTTTTTTTGCATGAAATAACTTGAGGCGGAAATCCATCTATGTCCAATACACTTGTTATGGCATTTTTTTTTTTTTTTTAGTTTTGTTCAGTTGAATCATTATTATTCAGAAGTCAACAATAACTATAAAAAAAAATGTTCTTTAACTACTATTAGTGTGATCTCCACTCTAGACCTTGGTTTGATACCAAATGAATCATGAAATTTCTATTCAATAGTTGGTACAGAAATAGAGGATTTTATTAATTATATATTAAGATATATGCATTAAAAATAATTTATTATAATATTATGTAATATGCCAATTGATTCGGTAGCAATAATTAAACTTTCATAATTTAAAATATTGGCTATACTGTAACGGACTAAGCTCTCCAAGCACATGTGTAATTGACCTTCTGAAGAACTTGAGCTCATGAGATCTATTATTTCTAGACAATCTTACCAAAAAGACCTTTTTTTATGAATTTAAAGGAATTAATTGTTTAATCAACCGACTCGATATTATATGCCAGTGGATACAAACATATAAGGCAAGTAAGCCTACCTTTTATAATTACAACATAATTATTATTCTATAGAATGTCTGTAACAGTGTCCGCCGCCTACAATCGATTATTAAGTAATGGCTGTCAGTCTCTTATAACTTACATAAATAGTGTTCATTAAATAAAAAAACAATGTTTTGCAATATTAGTTATAGGTATTAGGTGTATAGTTACTTAGATAGTGATTAATAAACTGATAAGAAAAATATGTGAAATATGTTGAAATTTCATTTTTGGCGATTACAGAAAAATATTAAAAATAAAAAAACTGTACATGTGTATTATGCTAAATTAAGTTCCCTGCAAAGTTATATTTTTTTATCTTGGTTGAATACGCAAATCTACTTTATTGAGGTATTATGAAAACGATTTTAAAAACTGCCCTTTTTCAATACACATCCTTTAGAACAATTCAATCCAAATATCGACAAAAACCAAAATCTATTAAAGAATTCTCTCCAAAATGTGGATTTTGTAAAACGATTAAGAATTGATAAAAAAATAACTAGCAGCAAAAAGTCCTTATTGCTGATTTTAACACCATTACTTTTGACTCATTAGGTTAATGTCTTTTTTTTAATTTTACCGAAATTACAATTATTAGAATTTAATAGAAATACTTACTTAAATTGTGGAGTTGGTAAAAGGTTCTAGGACAACAATCGACTTTGTCAGCTTTTAAAACTAAATGTTCTACTTGCGAATTATGATGGGCTTATACTTTGACCAGAAAAACAGAATTCTAATAGGCTTTTGCAGTGTAACTGTGTTCGTTTATTTACACAAATGCTTAATTTGCTTAGACTCGATGCGGAGCTGAGAAGTTATTGTATTTACTTAATATTATGTGTTTTTTGTTTTGCCTGTACTCGCGGTATCATAACAAAAATCGAGAAACACACCAAAAACAATAACATATTTTTTAACAGAAATCTACAACACTTTATACCTTATTTAAAAAAGTCTTTATAATTCTAAAATTTTGTGGAATAATCTTTAAACATAATGCTGCCCATAAATATTGATAAACTAAAAAAAAGATCATAAACTCGTCCCTCTCAAAGGCAAATAAGGGATAGCACTATTAGGGATTTAGGTTTGAAAATTAGAATTAGATCGGACTAAACTGGTTTAAATGTACTATCTACAGATTCGCATAGAAGCGTTTAATTAAAAGTGATTTTATCAGATATCGTAACACAGTTTAACATTAGTTTGAAAACTATGTGATCAATTTCATAAAATATATTATCTACTCCCAACATACTGCATTTTCTACTAATGGTTTTTTAATTTATCGTTTTTAGATATAATAATTCCTATATACCTGTGCCTCCGTCCCCACTATGCCCCAATCCCACTGTACTGGGGTTATTATTGTTATTTTTTCAACAATATCATAAAATTACATCACATAGAATTTCAATTCATTTAGGTTGAAATTAGAGTTTAAATATTTATATACAAAACAATGTAAAGAGGTGAATGTTTTTGAGGTCATAACGCTGCTTTTTCTCTAAAATATCGTCAAACATAAAAGTTACAGCTTTTCAACACAGCCATAAACTAACTTTTTTAAGGATTGTGTATTCATTTATGGTTTACTTTCCAAATAATAATGTATTATTATGCTATAATTGTTAATTGTCGTGGCCATTTCAACACCCAAATTAATTGTATGAATTAAAAAAATAATATTATACAACAATTGATAAAAATATCTAATTTTCACCTGTACTATATAAAAAGTATAGCACCCCCTTGCTCTCAGATGGCACCTTCAAATATTTATGTAAGCCTAGGACCTAGATAAAAATTATATTTAGAGATGAAATGTGAAAGCGATTGTCTGAATGGTAATTTTCCAAGTACAGTGTTATAAATTCAAGCGGCAAGGTCATGAGGACATATCATTTGGTTTTAAACTGGTTTACCTGAACATCTAGTTGCACCGCTGCAAACAATAAAGATGTGATCATGATTTCTCAAAACTGTAATATGTTAAACCATACTAAGGAGCACCTCGTCATTTATTAGACAGTCGTAGGGTCATGTATATCGAGATAGGGTTTTTAAACAGTGTAAACTCGGATGAAATAATCGATAAGGTGGCTAATAAAAGTAAAATGGTATCAATATTGTTATTTTTTTTTTTATAAACTAGTTGATTTGTATTATTAAAATTGTTAACGTTTCTCATACTAAACTTTCAATTTTTAAGTTAAGGGCTGTAATATAACGGAGCGAAGCGAGCAAATTTCAGGCATCCCCTTTAAAATATTTTCCTAAAAAACTACCTATCAGCTCCTTAAATTGGAGAGAGGGGAAGCTCTAGGAAACTTCAGGCCATTTAAAAACTCTTAGAACTCCCTGAGAATTTTGTCAAATTTAAAAATGTTACCCAGTGCTATGCCTTTATGAAGTTTATCAAGAGTATAAGAAAATTGAATTTAACATATTTTTTTTTTTGCTAAAAATTATATTTAGGTCGAATAGTATTCACTGTTAAATTTTGGTTCTGTGTTAAGTTAGCTGTTGTTTTTGTGTTCAAGACTCAGCTATACCGTGCTGTGTACACAATCGCCCAATGTTTTCACTAGCTGTGCTTAACAAAAAAATCCAATAACAAAATACGATGTAAGGATCGGTTGCGATCAACTGTATACATACAATTTTTTTTATTTTTTTTTGTACTCGCGATATCACCCAAGCCACTAAACTGATTTTTTCGTGTAGCAATTTTATAAAGCAGAAATCGTTTAAACAGAAAATAATATTAATAAAACACCCACAAAAATTACAATGCTTTCTAGCTTTTTAATAAAGTAGATTAAAAAATGAATCTAAAAATAACGTTTTTATGCGCCTTAAAAAGTATAAAATAACCCTCGGGGGTCTTGATAACCAAATAGGACAGGTGAACTAGAAAAACATAGGACGCATCTTTCTACTTAGATATTAAAACCTAAGCTTTCATGTTAATGCTAATAAATGCATTAGGTTGTCTCTCATAATGCTGTCTCTCTAACCGAACGGATCAGAAAGTGATAGTATGACTTTTTATCGGAAATGAAATTTAATGGATTTCCGTGCCACTTGCCATAAATTTCATTGCAAATTGAAAAGACTTAATTGCTATTCTCTCCAAAGTTTGTTTTATGTAGGTTGCTTCAATTTTTTTGTTAACTACTTACTTGCTTAACATTTAAAGTAATGTGGTGCTCAAATTTACATGACATGTCATTAAGTATTATTTTATTTAGAAGAGAAAAGAGGATGTGCATGAATTATGAGTTAAGGTAGTTATTAATGAGAAGAGAATGTTATTATATATTCAGACGTGTGAAGTAGTAAAGATGCGCCCCACGTTTTTCTAATTCACCTGTCCTATTTGGTTATCAAGACCCCCGAGGGTTTTTTTGTACTTTTTAAGGCGCATAAAAACGTTATTTTTCGATTAATTTTTTAATCTACTTTAGTTATTTTGTTCTTTTTCGTTTTCGTATGAGCGTACCTATATATTTAAATGTACAATGCTATATAATGAATATACATATTATTATACATATATTTTACATATAAATAATATTATTACAATATTATATAATAAAATCAGTCCATTTCGTTTGTAAGCGGTGATTACATTAGAAAAGGCTGCATGGTCAGAAGGATTATCATAAGAAATAGTAATCAATTTAAAAGCTTATAATTTTAGATTTATTACTGTATAAATTATCATAAAAGTTGTAAGAAAATGCAAAAAAGTGTAATGATGGGAACGGGTTTGGACCTGGTACCGCTCACTTCTGAGCACCGTTCACGCTCAAACGCACCACGCATAATTTTTGCTGGCGGGTGAAAAAAAAATCTTTTTGAATTATAAGATTCCCCCCGGAACTACGGTTAAGAAATCAACCCCATTTTAACCCCAATTTAATACACTAATCATAATATGCTTCTTGAAGGGAATTAATAAATAAACTGGTTTTTACTTAACACCAAAAATAAATTACATCAAACCATATAAGCCATGTACATATACATAGGTTTATAAAAAACCCAGATATGTGTAATATTCTAGTAATTTAGAGTTGTTTTCGATAGAAA